AAAAAGGAAGATATCATAATGACCAGACTCACAACACCCATGCAACCCCTTCTCCACTTCAAAAACTCTCATAACTCCTTTGATCCTGTCTCTTATACACATCTAGATGTGTATAAGTATGTATAAGCTTTACTGCTAAAGGATTTTAAAGAACTTGGCACCATGAGTTCGATATCGATCTACTCGAATTAACTGACAAGAATATCTGCAAAGAGATACATTATACCTGACACTAAACCCGGGATAAATCGATCAAAATGTTTCTATTGTGAATCGCCAACAATTATGCACCACCTGTGAGAAGTTCTGAGCTGCCCAGGCCCGCCCAGAGTTTAGGCATCTTGGTATGTTTGAGATCGACTGCCCCTTCGGGGACATCGGCCCCTGTTTGGGGGCATAAAACACTCTCCCCATCGAGCAATCCTGGCGCCACCCTGCTTCATTTCCTTATAATCATTAACGTTAATAAACAATAATATTCGTACCTAGATGGTTGTTATGAAAATTATGAAATGGCGCTATATAAATGCTGTAATGTATGTATGTTTATAACCAGTAGTAATATTGTAATTAAATTATTCAAAAATTCACAGATTGCTTGGATTCATGTTGTGGTCATGAGACGAAAAAGTTATAGTGTCATGCATAAACTACAATTTCGTATTATACGACATTGCAATTATTCAAGATTACTAATTTATACATTTTTAAATAGGATTTCTCTGATTTCCTTTTAAATTGACAAAGTGCATTTTTATGTTCACTTTGATAGTTCTTAATAAGGCGAACTTAATGATAAAACTCTAGTATGCAAGCCCATCATTTTGTTGTGTGTGTGTGTGCGTGTGTGTGTGAGTGTGTGCGTGCGTCTGTGCGCGTGTGTGTCTTCTTTTTGTATTTTTATTTCAGGCTGACTCGTGACAAAATTTTTTCTATGGCCTTTTCCCTTTCTCCTTAATTGTTAAAGACTGTGTATTTTCAATTGTATGAATTTGAAAAGGAATCAAATAAACGTCACTTTGAATTGAATTGAAAATCATCAAGCTCTCAGGTAACCGCTTATAGACCCGTAACTCTCGAGTCAGAATTTGGTATATTCAGGTGCGAAAACCTTTCTGATATAAGCCTTAATTGCATATGTGCGTGGTTCGTGACTACCTATGCGGCCGTAAATAGGCGCTTAAAGTAGCTACATATTCGCATCATTTCACAACAACATGGGCTGATGTGAACCATAGCATCGAGGTAGCCCCTACTCTTCCGAAAGATGCAATGGGTTATTTAAAGTGCACACGAGCCAGATGTGGACCACCACTTTAAGTCCTTATCCGAGTAGACTTGGGAACCTTGGCAAGGAGCGGCTGGAACCAGTGCCGATGGTAAGGTTGTAATTAACAGCGCGAGAGTTTTTTCTACAGGTAAGTTAAGCCCATTACCAGTTATTTTCTTTTTATTTTCTTGTAGAGTTCGCCAGTTTAATTTTGCTATGCCTTTACAATATTGTCTCATGCATTACTCCTTGGCCTTTTTTATATAGGCCTATTCAATGCTACTTTTTGTGCGAACTTTTCGAGTTGTAGTTGTTTAGTTGACTGTTTGATTCATTTGTTAAATTTTTGTTGGTTTTGTATGAAGATGCACCATCACTTCATGTTTGCTCCTGATTCAAAAGCGTTTTCCAATAAATTGATTGATTGACTGATTGATACAAGTTCTAAGACAATCAGAACCCGTAAACAGTACGTCATAGGCATGGCCATAGGTCACATCACAGGTATTACTTGGAGAGTAGCGATGTACGTGTGGGTGACTGACCAGGACTAGCTAAGCGCTGTATATACAGTAACGTTTTCTGCCTATTATACACTAACAACATACTGATTACAATTAACTTCTATGTACTAACGTATTTATGTTGCTTTTGCAGATTTAGTTATTACTGTAGTATTACTATTCGCGTGCTATTACCATGATTGCTACATTCGGTTTAATTTTTCAAGCAATTACAGTAGTGTTCTACAGGGGTAGCACCAGCGGGGTGGGGGAGGGGGCAGGGGCCAGGGCCCCCGTCTGGGAGGTCGGGGAGGAAAAGCACAATTCGTCGGGGAGAAAAAAAAAATATATGTATTTTCTACAT